TAACAAGTTGTGATCTAGCTACCCTTCTCCCAACCATACCACGTCACAAACAACTATATCCAGAAATCCAGAGTGGCTATTTTGAGAACTGGCTGAGGAAGGTGGAGGGAGGAGGGGCAGGAGATAGAAGCCTCAGTGTACTGCTTTTTAAGCAGAAGGTGCGAGGGAGATTTCAAGGGGTGTGGTGAGTACCAGGGATTTTCTTTTTTTTACAGCACCCTTTTCTGGTTTCCCAGCGACCTCATAAATGTAAGCAAAATGGAGTTGGGAAGCTCTGGAGAATCAGATAGCAGCTGAGCCATGGCCCCATTCCAGGGCTACTAGTAATCTCAGGAGAGACTTAAGAAGGGGTGACAGTTGGCAAGGCAGAGAGAAAGGGGTGCCTGTGTGGTTTGGTCCTGACACATATCTCTGCTTAGGGGACTCTCAAGGTTGGTTGATCTGAGAAGGAAAGTGGAGGAACAAGCAGCCGCCTGAAGGGAGATATTTGGAATTGGAGCCCAGGTTTTCCCCTCAGTCCTGGGAGGGGCTGGGTGAAGGAAAGGAGTGGATGGGTTAAGGGACTAGGTTTAGAGTCGGGGATACTGGTTAGAGCAAGTATCATTGAGGGATTTGCTGGCCATAGAGAAAGTAGGATTTGAAGTCTGAGATCATGGAGCTATAGTGCTTGAGTGCGGACCCCAAGACCCACTTCTCTGGACTACCAATGGTTACCCTATTACCGAACTCCCCATCCATGTCATGCTTTTGCAGTGAGGACAAACCTCTTGTGACGACATGTATCAGTGTGGAAGATGTCACCTTGGCAGCTATTGGGCTATTAGATTGATCATGTGAAAAGCAAACAATTGACCACAGGAAGATCATAGGGAAAGGAAGAGTCATGACTGGGTCAGTCGCCCAAGAACCGCGGAAAAAACCTTTCCTCTTCTGGAACCTGTTTTTTGGTGAAAGGGTGACTAGCATGTATCCCACAGAATTGCAGAAACATTTTTATGCATGTTCTTCTAGATTTTTAAATTAAAATGTTATCTTTTAACATTCTGTATAAGCAATCTGTATATCTTTTATAAAAATTGGAACATATCAGGGGCCTCCCTGGTGGTGCGGGGATTAAAGACAGCGCTATCAAGCTATCGCCAGCAACTGCAGCACAAGAGTTTAATCCCTGGCCATGGAGGTGACCCACATGGTGCAGCAGACCTTTCCGGACTCTCCCGCTGCTCCCCTCCGCAGTGTATTTCAGTAGATCTGCCTGTTCTGTTAACCACTGTGTCTCTGGTGAATCCTCTTACCCACACACCCCCATAGCTCTGGCTTACACCCCAGTTCTTATATGCATAAATAAGTAAATTTAAAGAAAATTGGACCACATCAATTATAACTTACTTTTTTTTTTAAAGATTTATTTATTTATACAAGCACTGGGTACAGTCAGAAGCGCGGGAGGGTGAGAGAATTCACCAGAGCCAGAACGGGGAGCAGAGCAGGCAGACAGATGGAGGACACTGCTGAGGGGAGAGGCGGGCACGGCAGGAGAGGTCTGCGCATCATGTGGAACCCTTGCCGGTGGCCAGGGATAGAACCGGCGCTGCATAGGCTGCAGGCAGCTTCGCAGCCCAGCGCTCAACTGCTGCGCCACCAGGGAGGCCCAATTATAACCTACTTTTATAAAGCATCAGGTAATTGTTTTGCAACTGCTTATGATCTCCAGTACTTTGCAAGATGCTAAGGAAACACAAATCACCAGATTTGAAAAAGTGTATATTGGACCAATTTACCTTTGAAAATCAATGTGATCAACAAAGCCATCTTAGTTTGGTGCAGATTTTCATTTTCTAGTAGTCTGGTTTGGCCTTGGCCAAGATCTTGAACAGCTCTAAGCCTGATTTCTCAACTATTGATACAAAGTAGGGATGACAACTCCTCATGGATTTCAGAGGATTAAATGGGATCATGTTTGCCTCATAATACATGTCCAGTAAATATTATTTGGGTACCAGTTTTATCTCCTCACTTACCCTGCAAGATAGGACAATATTTTGACTTGTTTCACTTAAATCCAAGGCCAATAACCTCCATGTGAGTCCTTAGTTCTGTGCAGTAATCCCACCACATCTTACCAGTCATTCACTCTCTTACTCTCCTTGATTATTTCACTCATTCTCAAGCCTTCAATACTTCCTACTCCTTCTTCACTCTTAGTTGATAACCATGCTTCTTTTTTTTTTTTTAAGATTTATTTATTTATGCATACAAGAACTGGGGTACAGGCCAGAGGTGTGGAGAATGAGAGGATTCACCAGAGACAGTGGGGAGCAGAACAGGAAGATCGACTGAAATACACTGCTGGGGGGAGCGGGGGCGAGACAGGAGAGGTCTGCTGTGCCATGTGGGTAGTTTCCTGGGCAGGGATTGAACTCATGCTGCAGTGGCTGTGGACAGCTTCATAGGTTGCATCTTAATCCCTTGCACCACCAGGGAGGCCCTGACAACCATGCTTCTTGTTTCACTGAGAAAATACCTTCTAATCAGAAAAGGCCTTCTATATATCCCCTCTGTACCAACCACTGCTTGCATCTGTATCCTTATTTTATGCCTTCATTCCTATATTGGAGATGAACAGCCCATAGTTCTATTTAAGGCCAACCCCTCTACTGTACACTAAATCCATTCCCTCTTGCCTATTCAAGACATCGTACTAGTAATTATGTCCTCTCTCTCCTGCATCATCAATTTTTTTCTCTATGAAATCATTCCCATCTTACCAAAAAACCTTCTGATGACTGCACATTCTTACTGAGTTCCTGTCCAACTTCTCTGCTGCCCTTTAAAATAAAGTTCTTGATAGAACTATCTTTAGTCAAACCTCCATCAGCACCCCCACCTTATTCTACCAGGAAAATGTACCTGCCTCACCTACACTTTCCTATCACTATACCACTACCACTCTAGTCCAAACTCCCAGACCTTCATAATTGTTTTCCCTGGATTCTTTCTGGCCTCTGTATAACCTATTCTCCAGTCAGATGTCAAAGTGATCTTTTATTTTATTTTTTTTAGAGATTTATTTATCCATGCATATAAGAACCAGGGCACAGGCCAGATGTATGGGAGGTGAGAGGATTCACCAGAGACAGAGCGGGTAACAGAACAGGCAGACCGACTGAAACACACCCCTGAGGGGAGCAGCGGGTGAGACAGGAAAGGTCTGCCATGCCATGTGGGTATCTTCCCAGCCGGCAGGGATAGAACCTGTGCTGCAGAGGCCGGGGACAGCCTCACAGGACTGCGCTCAACTACCTGCGCTACCAGGGAGGCCCCAAAGTGATCTTTTAAAACATAGCAGACCATCTTTCCCCCTGTCCTATACCCTGTAATGCCTTTCCATCAACTCAGAAAAGAATCTAAAGTCTTTGCCCTGGTCCAAAGATCCTCAAATTCTGGCTGCCTATCTACCTTCATTTCTTTTTTTTTTTTTTTTTTAAAGATTTATTTATTTATTTATTTATACAAGCACTGGGTACAGTCAGAAGTGCGGAGGGTGAGAGAGAATTCACCAGAGCCAGAGCGGGGAGCAGAACAGGCAGAAGGACCGAAATACACTGCAGGAGAGGTCTGCGCTCCATGCTGGACCCTCTCCGGTGGCCGGGGATCAAAACGACGCTGCAGAGGCTGCGGGCAGCTTCGCAGGCCAGCGCTCAACTGCTGCGCCACCAGGGGAGGACCTACCTTCATTTGTTAGGCTCTGCCTTGGTCACTTGGTTCCAGCCAGGCTGGTTTTCTTACTCTTCCTTGAACACACAAGGCACCAAATCTGCCTCAGTGACTTTCAGCTTAATTTTTCATGTGCCTAGGAGGTTCGTTTCCTAGACCTTAACCTAGCTTGCTCTTATATGACACTCAAACCTCAAATGTTACTCATCAAAGAGGCCTTCATAGACTCCTCTGTTCTGTTTTCTTTCTTGTCACTTGTCACTTACTGGCATATTTGTTTAATGAGTTCAGGGATTTTATTTTGCTAACTACTGTATCTCCAATATCTATAACAACACTTGGCATGTATTACACACTGATTTATTTGTTGAAAGTGAATCTTGTGTTTCTTCTATATCCCTTTAGTGCTTAGAACAGTGCCGAATACCAATAAGTGCTTGACACATATTTATTAAAGTAAGGTAGAAACATCATAAACTACATAACATAAACTGGATTCTGTCAGCTTCTTAAAATAGACTCCTTCTATATGGCATCCATTCAACAAAGTTTCCATCCATAAAATGGGGGATAATGCTTTATATTCCATTGAGCTGTTCTGAGGATGAGCCAAGAAAATATTTGTGAAATCACCCAGATCCTGTATTTTGGCAAATATCAGACTCCAAGGGCAGTCAAATTCCTTAAAAAGATCCCCAAGGTCCTACATAACCTGCTCCACCCTCAGGTATCTCTGACCTCATCTCCATTCATCTCTCTTCCTTCCTCTAGCCTCTCTTCATCCCAGCTTCATTGGTCTCTTGTTATTCCTCAAACACACTAGTCATACCTCCACCTAGGGCCCAGGCCCTTGCCTCAGACGATCCCTTATCTCCTTCTGCCCTTGACTCAGATGCCACTTTGAGAAAAGCTTTGCCTGACCACTGTGTGGACTGTATTTCTTATTGCCACCCTGGATCTCAACACCCGCCCCACTTCCTAGCTTTTTACCATAGCACTCATCACCACTCAACAAAATAAACATGTTGTTTATTCATTTGCCTACCAATACACTAGAATGTAAACTCAGAGCAGGAATTTTGTCTGTCCTCTACCATTTCTCTAGAACCAAGAAATACTGAAGGAATTTCAATGACTTTTTTCTCTCTCACTGGACCTCAAGACCCACTTCAAAACATTAAGGAATGCACCTGGATATAGGGGGGCTTAAAAATGTGGTGAGTTTAAGAGGTGGCAGCTTAATACTTCCACAAATATCTAATACTCTGTTCTTTCACTTCCAGCTTAACACCAAAACATCCCCAGCAACCAACCAGGCACCTGGCTCAGAGGAAAAGGGTGAGTGGGGTTAGGCTAGGTAGTTTGTAGAGAAGATAAAGAAAGGGACATGAGGGCAAGTGAGGGTGAAAACCTGGCAGCGCTAATCATGGAACAGTGAATAGATTAGTGAAACAAAGCACAAGGCTGGAACTACTCTATCTATAGGCTTCTCTCAACTTTTTCCTAAGAGTAAACCTACGTGAACTTACTTTTTGATGTTAGAAACTGGCTCTAGACTGGAGACAGGCACAGCTACAGGAAGGAACTTCAGATAATTGCAGTCACTGTATCACTCAGAGACTGAGGGTCAGCTGGGGAAAGTGAGTGTGCTCTGGGACTCTGAACTGTGGGATTTAAGAATAAGTGGTGGCAGAAAACATGCGTCGTCTTGGTCTGAAGTAGCAAAGCTAAATAGCTATAGTTAATTCTCATCCTAGGTCCTTGACTCAAACATTTAGGGGAGTTACTAGGCATTCTTCATTCCGGCAAAGATTGGGGGACATCACAGAGTCCAGCAGAAAGTGGACTTTAACCACTGTATCGGGAAACCAGAGAAAGGAACTGGAGCAATTCAGGTTTACTTATTAATGAATCTCTCCAACTGTCTGCAGGGAAAGCTGGCAATGCTAAGAAAGCTGAGGAGGAGGAAGAAATCGACATTGATCTGACAGCACCAGAAACAGAAAAGGCTGCCCTGGCCATTCAGGGCAAGTTCCGGCGATTCCAGAAAAGGAAAAAGGACCCCAGCTCCTGAGAAGCCAACTTTGCTCCCCTCTCCCCCATTCTCCACAGCTCTGACTCCTGTGTACCATTGTCTCTTTGCCCCTCTAGTCTCTCATTGAGGCAAGTTGAACCCTCTATATTATGTTCTCTGGCCCCCTCAAGCCATCACAGTAGCAGAGGCACAAGGAACCTGGGGGAGATGAATTCCACTGGCAGCCACCTGCCTAAGGAGGGAACAGTTTCTCCTTGGGATGGGCTCCTTATCAGTCCCTATGTCTGCCCTATGAGGTTGAACAGCAAGAGACTTTGAGGTTGCGGAGGGACCCCTGACACTGTGGGAAGGGGAAGCCTTCAAGTAAGGTGCTTGGGGTGGGGCCTATGTACTGTTTGTGGGGGACACCTCCCTTCTCACACCCCCTGTACCACATCCTCTAACTTCCCTCTTATGAGCTAGGCCACAGTGGGGACCAGAACCTCCCTTTACCCCTGGGCAAACCTAAATCAAACAGCTTACACATTAGTGCATGCTAAGTAGATTAGTTCCAAGGAAGGGAGAGACAAAGGAAAGTTTCCTCCAACATCTAGTCTAGGGTCATGCGGAGCAGAGGTGGAAGAGGTTCAAGGGGTCACAGACAGAAAAGTGGGAACTTGGGGAGATTTGGGGAGGAAAGCAGAGTGAAGAGGGGAGGTCTCTGGAGACACAAGTTACTACCAGTGAAAGTGTACATTATGACGATTCTTGGCGCTGCGCTGACCTGCCCGACTCTGACAAATCCCGCCCCTTGCCCCAGTCTAGCCATCCTCAAAGACCACACAAACCAAGTGACCCCTGTGCCCACCTGCCCCTGTGCCCCCACCCCGTGGAGTCAGGGCAGAGATGAAATAGATATTCTATGTGGTTTTAGCATGTTTAAAAATTATAAAAATAAAAAGAGCTCTCACATGGGGTCGTTTAACTTGTTTTCTCTGGGGAGGAATCTGGATGTAAGCCTGAGGCACCTTGGGATTGCACAGAGATTGCACAGGAAACCAACTGCCTGAGCCATCAGAAGACTGAAGCCCACCCACTTGCCCTCCCCCACCTTGCCCTCACCTTGATTCTTGCCTACATTGTTTTCATCTGCTGCTGCCACCACCCCCGGCACACCTGCAAGAGTTCTCCTCGCCTCCCACCCCCCCCCCGCCCCTCCCAACCTAGCACACTTGGTGCCTAGCCCTCTGAAAACAAACCTAATCTTTGCTCTTTATACTCAAAGGACTTAGCCCTCCTGGTTTCTCTTCCTCTCACATCCCCTCTCTCATTGTTTGTCAAATTTAGAAGACAAACTCTGGGTCAGTAAAGAGCACCACCCTCACACTGAAGAGGTTAAACAACAATTAAAATCAAATCGTGGCTTCAGGTGAGCTCAAGTTGCTGAGAAATGATATCCATGCATTGAAACCAGAAGCTCAGTGCTTAGAGACGGAGCAAGGGACTGCTGTATCTCCCCCATACTCTTCCCTTAATACTCACCTTTCCTTTTTTGAGTCAAGAAAACAGGAGTTGAAACAACATAGCAGCTCTGAGTAGGAAGCAAAGGACAATATCCCTGGCAGGTAACTTCTTTCCCAATGATTATTGTGGGGAGCAAACCTCATGGCTGCAGGCTTAGGAGGATGGCCCACTAACTCATGGGCAGGCCCTATGTTAACGGGAGTCCCGTTTTTGATACCGGAGAAAAGGTTACGTTTGGAATCTTTTCTGAGAGCAGCATAATAATGATGGTGACTTTTAGTCCTGGCCTTGTGGGCAAATAAAAGGATAGCCTCATGGCCACAGGTGTGTTCAATGTGTCCTGGTAAACCAGGGGTACTCCCTGTTTCCGGCTCCCTGGACAGGACGTGGGAGTGAGTGCGCTGTCCCTCCCTCTGCCCAGTGGGACTGAGTAAAACAGGGCTCCCAGTTCCTGGTGCAGTGGGTTTGGACAGTGGCTGGTGTGGGGCCAGGGCGAGCTCCTTCACCAACCCTGCCTATTAGGAGGGTAGCTGCTGATTGTTTTTGCCATACTGATCTGGATTTAATGCTGAAATGAATTTTTTCCTCCACCAATACTTTCCCAAAAGCATTACACTTGTGCTTACACATATTTTATTTTTATTTTTGTTTTTTCTTTCTCACACATATTTTAAAGATGGACGTCCGCATAGCTTGGGTACAGAGACTTAGTCCCAGGCCTTGAAGATTTGTTCTCTCCTTCCTGGCCTGAGGCCTGTCCTGCAACCATGCCTTGTATCCCGCCCCCTGCAAACCCCCTCCCCCCCCCAGCCTGCCCCACCTCCCACTCCCCACCCCAAGATCCTAGCTTGACCTCCTCTTTGTATGTACTGGAGCAGCACTGCATGTCGCGTGCCTGGCGTGGTTCAGTCCAGATGTCAGTCGGAACAGAAAGAAAGACCCAGAACCCTGGAACAAATGAGGTCCCAATGACCAATACAAGTTCTGCTTAGTGAATGCAGATGACAGCAACTGCAGAAAGGTCCAGACTTGTAAATGAAATGTTTGCTTAAAATGGAGGTCTTCCAGAAGCCATCCGAACAATTTTCCTTAACCAAGGAAATCCTTCCCCTCTAAATGCACAAAATCATGTTGGTATATTGTGTTGGGGTTTACAATAATAAATATCTGAAACTTGAAAAAACAAAGAAAGGGCACGATAGCAAAACAGTCTGCTTTAGTCATATTTTGCAGAACCTACTGGGGTTCTCAGTAAAGGTTCTATAACTGGGTTCTCTGCCAGGCTGCTTCCTCCTACTGTGGGGCATGCCAGTTGAGCCTCTTTTCCTCAGAACAACTCCTTGGGGCCCAGGGCTTGCACTGGGATCTCCTCCTTGGAACTCTGGAAGCCTGTTTCTTTTCTCTGTCCCTCTAGATCTATTGCTGGAGCCACGATCCTTGAGAACTGAGGATTACTCCTGAGTACTTTGCTTTGTGGAGCAAAAATGCAAGTCCTTGGGGGTTGGTGAATGCTCTTATAAATGGCTTAGCAGAAGAGACAGTTATTAGGAACAGTCAAGGAAGAAAGCATTATGCAGCTATCACATCAATAGCACGGGTATCTCACTACGTGCTTTTTCAGCTGTGTCTGGTGGCAGAAGTGGGAGTAGATGCTGACAAAAGGGGAAAAGTTCTGGAGATCTGAGCAGGCGATACATTTAGATATGTTCCCAAAACCCACACAGGGAGATGAAGACCTTGGGAGCAATTCAGGGAGCTAAAGGGACAAGGCTCCGGCTTCCCTGGACAACCTACTTGCAGGGATTTGGTGTTGCTGGGCAGCACTCTTGGCCTCACCTTGGTCTTGCCCCAACACAGAGCCAGCTTTTACCTCTTCAATCTCTTGTGTCTTTTACTCTTGCACTTAGTCCCTGCCCTGCTGTCCTCTTTAGGAGTTGCCCTTTCTGCCTATCTCCTTGCCTCCCTCTCCTGCCGCTCCAGTCCTAGCTGCTTTTCCCTTTTTTTCGGAGTTGTTTGCAGTGGGCGTGGCTACCAGCAGCTTCCTGGTCCCTGCCTTTCTGGCCTTGAGAACCAGTTCTTGCTGGTTCTCTCCAGTGAGCGGCCCACTTCCTGTACACCACCATCCTCGGCCCCAAATATAGCCTCAGAAAACCGAGGGTTTGGGGGTCAGGCGGTTTGTTTTTGTATTAAGAGTGACATTAACTTCTTTTCTGGTTGTTTGGGTGGCTGCTCTGACCTCAGTGCTATGAAGGCAAAGAGAGCCCACAACTGGGCACAAAGTTAGCTCAGAAGTCAGCTGCAGAAGTCCCTTCCTCCTTGGCGGCTTCCCTCCTCTACCTAGATGTCAGGATGGCAGGGACTGCCCTCCCTCGTTCTCCCAGAATCCTGTTCTTCCCCTGGCTCTTTAGCAGTAGTAGTAACCTTTCCTGATGCCCCAACTACTTAGATCTTTAAGAATGAAGCAAGGGCTGGGCTTCCCTGGTGGCGCAAGGAGTTAAGATGCAACCTATGAAGCTGTCCACAGCCTCTGCAGCACAAGTTTGATCCCTGGCCAGGGAGCTACCCACATGTCACTGCAGACCTCTCCTGACTCACCTGTTGCTCCCCTCAGCAGTGTACTTTGGTCAATCTGCCTGTTCTGTTCCCCGCTCTGTCTCTGATGAATCCTCTCACACACACACCCCCCACCTCTGGCCTGTACCCCAGCTCTTGTGTGCATAAACAAATAAATCTTAAAAAAAAAAAAAGAATGAAGCAAGGGGAACCATCTGTACTAGATCACCTGAAAGTATGCTTACCTGCACACAATTCTGTCTACTTAGGTTCCAACATAGGGAGGGTCCTCAGGGATGCTCATCCCTCAAATTGGTGACTCCCTAGCCTTGTACTACTTGCAGGACATGAAAGGTGATGACAATAGTAATGTTTAAGATTTGTAAATTACTATATGCCAGACCCTGTGCTAAGCACTTATACCTATACTAATTCATTTAATTCTTACAACCCTATGGCATAAATGCTATTGTTATCCCCATTTTACAAATGAGGAAACTGAGGAACAGACACATTTAAATAACCTTCTCAAAGTAAGTGAGTGGTTAAGCTGGGTCTAGAACTCAGGCAGACTGGGTCCGGAATTTTTGTTCTTTATACATCTTGAGAAGGAACTGGAAGATGAAGGGCAGGTTTGGTTGTCTAGTATGTTGCCCACCTAAAGTCAGAGGGCAGGGCTTCCCTTAGCTTCTTTTCTCAGAGTTTTTCCATGTTCAGGCATGCCTACACAATAAATCTGAACCTCTTTGATCTCCTGTCATTCAAGGAAGGACCAGATCCGGGTTTTTCCTGACACCTTTGCCAGGAATTCTATTGGTGTCTTGAGCTCCTCATTGTGTTGCATTCATATACCAGGGAGTTTTCTGGAATCAGAAGTGGTTTGAAATGAAATGGATAGAAAAATGAAAAATGGGGTTTGAACTAGGGAAGTTATGGCAGATATTCGGGTATAGAAAGAAGGAAGTGTCAGAAGGCTTACTTTAGGGTATGAGGTTGAATATATGTGGGCACCCTAAAGTAAACCCCACTCTTTTCTGAAGGTATCAGCTCTCATTTGTGCCTCTAAGCCAGTTCTCAACAGGGGGAGCTACTGCCCTCTAGGGTATGTTTTGAAAATTCATGGGGGGGCTAGCGGCAGGAGAGTTTAGAGTCTAGGAGATAACCACGCTAGGCATGCTTAAATGACCTGGACAGTGCTTCACAAAATAGACTTGTCCCACAGCCCACATACCTTTTGAAAGTCCCATGGGTGCAAATGTAGGTTATTAACCTCTTATTATCTAAAGGCACTCAGAACCCAACTCCATTTTATACATAAGTACAAAGCTTTTTTGTACCATTTTAAATATTGAATTTCCCAGAAATGCAACTACTATGTTCAGAACTTTACCAAGAGTTGCAAACCATTTCAGAAACCCAAGCCCTCGGCAGTGCTGGCACTATTTGGGCCATGATACCTATCCATGCCCCCCATTTGCACCTGTGGCATTGCCACCATGGGTATTGGCTCAAGATTCTGCTACATGATACGCTTCCAGCCATCACGCCTGAACATTATGCATTAAAATACCAGCACTTCATTGTAAACTAGTATTTTGTTTCACCTCTATAACAGAGTATCATATTTATTTTTTGAATTATGTATATGCGTTATATTACATATGAATATCATTTTAGGATAATTAAGGGGACCCTGAACCTGAGGGGCTAGGGACTATTGCCCTAAGCCTCTGGAAATCCACATTCAGTACTAGCCTGGAAAATCAGGAATCTGACTTTCTCCTACCCTTTTTTTTTTGCCATCGTTTTCTTTCTAAAATTGGTCCCCCAAAACTTACTGCCATACTTTCTTACTGTGGGCTGAACACTCAGAGAGGGTCTGCAAGATA